AAAGAACATGAATAGCTAAGTGTTTGCTTAATGATTAACCTTGGAAAAAACGTTCTGTGGCGTTTGGTATTTATAGGTTAGGTTAAGAAATGGATGAGCCGGACAAAAAACCTTTAAAAAACGAATTAAAAAATTCCTAGATAACACTGTCGCTCGAGCAAAGGACGAGTGACGATCGAGCGACAAGTTGTCCCTCGAACGAAGGAGAGGCGACAGGTGGGTGACTTGATTTCTATTTATGACGCTTGAGCCAAACCTTGGCGATAAGCTAGCAATATTCCGGCGCCATTTTTCTTTCTTTTCCATTCTCGAACCCTAGACCTAATATAACACAAATTTCTACTATTTGCACATTACTCCTTGACTTTTACAACATATCAATTTAAGTCCCTTTTGTTCACAGATTTGCTAATTACATTAAATACCTAACAAGCTCCCCCTTTGGTATTCTGTGACAAAACTACAATCTAAAGTCAAGGCAGTAGTAACAAAATAAATACTCAAAAATTGACACAACCAAAAATTGTCTTGATCAAACTCTGCTTTTCATATATCAAAACTTGTTTCCTGAAATAGATAACTCAAGTACCCAGTGTAAAATGTATGTGAAACAGTGTTAAATGTAAAACCAATTTAAGCAGTTAATCAAGTAATACTAAGTGTAAAAATGAATGAAGCGGTTAAAAACTCAATTCATTTTTCAGTGTCATATCATAAACTAAATTAAGACATAATATCAATGCAACCCAACATACAAAAACAAAACATTGATACTATAAAACATCAAAACTTAATTTAGCATACCCAAAATTATCATTGAATCAAAAGTTTGTAGATACATCATGTCAAATCAAATTATCATATACATCGAAAATATCTACTCCAAAATGTCATATACATCTACTCCCCTTTTTTGTCACAAATTGACAACGAAATAATGTATTACCAAAGAACATCACACAAAAATGCTTTGCACCCTCTATTTGGATTATAATTTTTAGCATTAACACAAAATAACTCAAAAATACTGTTATGAACATGCACAAAGATAAGCAATAAATAGTAAACCTTACCACATACTTAGTTCAAGTTATCATGGAGTAAATTGTACAAGCGACCCATATGTGTAAAGTGTCACTAATCCTTTGAAAATAGGACTCCAGACCTTAAATT